ATAGATATATATATATACATATATATATATATATATACGTATATACGCGGATAGAGAGATGTTATACAGTGTGACGTCAGAGAAGTAGAGATTGCCGGGTGCCTCGGTGGTGTCCCCGGCCGCTGGCACCACGGTGTTCGCACGACATACCTATATGCATGTATACATATCATATACGCCTCGCCGACACCAGCTGACGTCAGAAAGAAAAAAAGCCGTGTATATATATATTATATTCACGGTCGTGGTAAACGGGGAAGTGCGCGCACCAGCTGCTGATGCTATATATATATGTATACACACTCTGCGACGAGCCATGAGGAAGAGCCGGCCGGGAGTACAGATGAAAGCTATATATCTGGTTTTTTTTCGCGCGGGATGTGTGTATTTATTACTATGGACTCCTACACTTGCCCGTTAAATTACTGCAACTGATGGGTTCTCGCGGGATGACGATATGTTTGCATGAATCGGTATTTATACCGAAACTTACACTTTTTGTATATACACAAAATGGCACTGAAAGGCCTCTCTGGTTTTTGTTGCCGATCTTAAAAGTAATTAATCATACCGATTGTGCGACGCTATGAGTTCATCGATCCTCTCCTCGCACGCGTTTTGGTCTATGTGTGTAGGTATTATCATTACTCCATGCACGTCGTTGACTACTCAAATTTATGCACATCCTACGAGGATACAATGTGATACGTTACCACCAACGCGTCTTATACAGGATGCTTTTCCAAATAATTTGATACGATCCGTCCGTTTTTTTTGTTTTTTTTTGAAACTTTGTAAAATTTTTCATCCACGTTTCAATGTTTTGACTAGTAGTGTTTTTTAAAGAAATGTGAAACAAAAATTCAAAGACTCGAGCAGTTTGAAAGCTCTACGCTCAAGTCGAAATCGGCGCCACTGAACGGGATTGGCTAGTGCATCAGTAAGTACGTGTGTTGACCACTCGATGCAATTGACGCTGATGTCGCTTCACATTTCGGAGTTTCGGAGCAAAAAGCTCTTTCAAAATTTCACGACACGAAGCGTACACGTTTAATTTTGCATTTTTTTTTTTTTTTTTTTTTTTTTTTTTTTTTCCCCCCCCCGGGGGGGGAAAAAAAGTTTTTTTTTGGAAAAAAAAAAAAAAAAAAAAGCATTATAGCGGTGTACCATTTTGATTATATCTTATGTTGAAAAATGTCATTATGATAAGTTATAAATTTATCAATTAATTGCTCAACTACGTTATCTCGTACCAAGCTTTTTGTTTTTATTAGACCAAAAAATGATAATGACTTTTCAATTGAAATCCAGATAATATCATATAATATCTTCTCTTGCTCAACCGAAGATGCACGCGCGTGTATATGTATAAGAGAATTAAAGGAAAATAAGTTTTCATGTATGTGCGCGTGTACAACCACACACATACATTTTCAAGTTTTTCCGATAGAATAGGTATTTATGCATTACAGACTATATAGCTACATATATTATGAATAGTAAAAAACCTGTGACGATGGCGAGTTTGCCAGCTAGTAATTGTCCGACCGATGTCATCCTTGTTGTCGTCAATTGAATATTATATGTATATGTATATTTATGTAGGTAGATGTAGTTGCAACCAAGTAATATGTTGTTCCGACTGTAAGTGAAACGACTCGAGTCTTACGAATCAGCAGCTGATGTGGCTCTTTCCTTTTTTCTCCGTCTCTCTTTTTCCTCTCGTTCGCACATCAGCTGACTCTTTTTTTTTTTTTTTTTTTTTTTTCCTCGTTGTACAAGAGATGCCTTTGGGTGAGTATAGGTATACTTATGGAGGCCAAATTTATCGAACAAATGATAACACGCCCAATAACGCAAGCTTCGTGTATGGATAAGGTTTATTTTACCGAGTCGGTCGACACATGGAATGCATATACAGTTTGTGCATGTATAGGTATACTCAAGTGGTTAGCTAGTATCTGAAATGCTGACCATATATTTTTTAAAGTCTGCCGGTTCAACCGGGAAAAATTTAAATCGTGCACGAGTATCGCAAGCAGTAGTTTCGATGAGGGTTTTTCTTTTCAAATGACGATTAACAAGCACATCCTTTTTTTTTTTTTATTTTTATTTCCAGGATATTCGTATATAAATATTGTCGCGTTCGAATTGTTTGTTTTTGCCCTTACTCGTCCCCCTTTTTCTGTCGTTTCCATCAGAACATCGGAATAACCGAGCGTATGCCGGTACGCTAAATATAAAGTTATTTAAGTTTTTCCGGGTTGCTCGATACAGCTTTTTTTTTTTTTTTTTTTTTTAGACCAATAATGATTTTTTTTGGTTTACCCGGGACTTACTGACGTCGTCACGTTTTATCACCAATACAGTTTGCATTTAGTTCCAAAGATAGAATGTACTATTTCTTTTTTCTTCTTTTCAAGATATTTACACAAAATAGCTTCATTGATTTCAGATACGGGGGTATTTTTTTTCTTCTTTATTTACGTCGAACGACGTCACGATGCAACGTTGAAGTCGTTAAGTTACAAGACTATTTTGAAAGATCGTGTGTATTTTAAAGATGTGACGTTATGGTGAATAGTCGTTGCAACGATATATATAAGTCAAAAATGGAAAAATTTCTTCGAACCACTTGAAAATTATATGGCAAAGTTTTCCAAAGAATATATACACATACTCGAGACAATGTTATCGATTACGATTTTCTTTATACGTTAGTTTGTGAAATATTATTTTTTAAAAACGCAGGTAAAAAATTATGAATGAACCGACACGTGTGTGTTCACGCATGATTCGAATCAAGTAGTTCTTGCGGAATCACCAAAATATTGGATTGTATGTACAGGTGTATAAGTATTAATTACCTAAAATAACTGCGAGAAAAGAAAAAAAAATCCCAAATTTTCACTGCATGGTATAACCGCGTCATTTTACCCATAAGAATAAAAGTTTCACCTCGAATTTTCTCTCATACAGACGACACGTACGCTTTCCCCTTTTCATTAACCATTAAAAAACAAAGCTCATAAGGACATTCGTCGCGCCCCCCCCGATTTTTTATTCTTTCCTCAACAAAATCACGTACCTACCGGCGATCGTCAACCTCGTACATATACACATATAACCGTGATGAAAAGAAAAAGAAAAGAAAAAAAAACCGACGCACCCACGCGATAAGCATACAATAAGAATATAAATACATGTGCAAATGGACGTATGGTGTACATAGTAATAATAATAATTACAAATCGCACGCGCTCACGGGCACACGTGTACCTATTCATAGTGACGCAATGCGTATCCCGATGGGCATATCAATTCCGAATCAGAGAGAGAGAGAGAGAGAGGAGCTCAAGGAGCTTGCGCTCGCGATTATCGGCTAAATGGCTATATAGAGCGAAGGATCTAGGCACGTATGATACATATTTATATATTTATCTAGGAAGGAAGAGCCGTCCCCGGCACAGCTGGGGCTCGCATCTGGCTCGTGACGTAATAAAACGACGATCAGCTACGAGTACCTATATAGACGCGAAAGCGCGCACTGCGAGGCCTTGGGGGGTCAAAAATTCATTGTCGAGGCCACTCCCCGCTCCCCCCTTCTGTTTTTTCGCGCGTTTGCGCAAGCACTTCCACATATTATATACTCGGCTGAACCCGCGGTGCAATGGGTTTTCGTATGCAGGAAGCAAACGCATACTTTCTTTTTTTTCTTATTCATTAGCGTGTGGACATTGTCGGGTACATATATAATATATTATGGTAGCTTGTACGCGTGTTGCGAAACAAACCAAGTTGATGGGTAATATGGAGTGTCCAAAGCTTTGTCGGATATTAATTTTTACTTTTCACTCGGCTTGGGGTCTCTTTCTCAAAATTTAATAAGTAATTCCTTTCTCCTTGTAAAGGTATCCCTCAGTATGAGAAAACTAAGGCATTAATATTCAAAAGGAAGAAAAAAAAACAACAAAAAACAACAAAAAAAACGGCGGTCACGTTAACTCTTGACTTCCATTTGCATCACCGTCCATGGCTTAAGTACATCATCGTGGTTGGTCGTCTCCCGGGTAACCGCCTCATATCCGCTTTAATGCCAGAAATATATATATATATATATATATAACCACACACCATAAGTCTCGATATCATCTAGACT